TCCTCGATGAGGAATTTAAAAACTGTCTATTGTGGCTCTCTCAGTATCAACGTTGAACTGTACAAAGCTCTGGTGAAAGAGCTGGCTCAAGTTCTGGAGAGACAGTTTGTCGGAAACCCTGAATCTCGAGCTGCTGGAATGGTGATCAACACAATGGGATGGATCGAGGGTATTGGTTATGAGGTAAAAAGTTAGATCCTTTTTAGCGTATTTTCTGGTAAAGTTAGCTCCTTTTTAGTGGATTTCATTATGCAAACGCTTGTTAAAGAACTGTATCTGTGTCGTCTTGCAGCTGCTTCTCCACGCAATAGACACATTCAATGCCTCGGTTGTACTTGTATTGGGTCAGGAAAAACTCTTCAGCAGGCTTAAAGATGTGCTGAGAAGTAAGAGTAATGTCGACGTTGTGAAACTTCACAAGTCTGGTGGAGTTGTAGCCAGGGTCAAAGAGGTCCGTAAAAGATCAAGGAATTTTAAGATTCAGGTAAAATTTTCAATCTCAAATATTTTAATCCCTTTTTCATGCCTTTGGACTTTGGAGATGTAAATCAGAACTCGAAAACTGAATTTCCAGGAATATTTTTACGGTTTATCGAAAGAACTCTCTCCGTATGCCAATACATCGAGTTTCAGTGATCTGCAAGTGTTCCGAATTGGTGGTGGACCACAAGCGCCAAAATCAGCTCTTCCAGCCGGGTCTACCTCGGTTTCAAATCCGTTGCGGGTGACACCTGTAAATATCGATGATCGGGATCTACTGCATTCTGTTCTCGCTGTCTCATACGCAGAAGAACCAGACCAGATCATCTCAAGGTAATCTCTCAAAGTTCTTGCTGTTTCCAGAATCAAAGGCGTTTGTGTTTGTTGTCTTCGTGTTTTTGATATTCTTTCTCTGTTTTTTCTTTTCTTGATGCAGCAATGTTTCTGGGTTTGTGTATGTGACGGAAGTTAATGTGCAGAAGAAGAAGATAACGTATTTAGCACCATCGCCTGGGACATTACCTAGCAAGTTGTTGGTCGCTGGATCATTGACATGGCTTGAGTCAGTATGATTTATTTAGAGAAGAGAGGAGGCATGCTTTTTTGCTTGGAGAATGATGCAGCAGCAGCTCGATTATGTAACTTTAATTACAACTAGCCTTTTATTTATAAAATGCTTAAGGTTTTCTTATAGTTTTTGAGTTTAAAAGATTATTGTTGTGGACTACATAGTTGGGTTTTCTTTTGTAATTTGACGTTATGAAGTGGGAAAAAAAATGATAAAATAATGTTGATTTTTTTGTTTTCTAGTGCGTTAGTTCTATTTGTTTGGTTCAGCATAGTAAAGTGATGTATAAAGCATTTTTAAATTTTGATAGTAGAACATATCTTATGTCATTGGAAATAGTATATGATAAATTTCGAAGTCACACATGTATTAGATATTAATTCAACTAAAATACTATCACATTTTAAGTCACTTCAATTGTCTTGTTGAATAAGCTCTTAATTAAGAATCGGATCCGTAGAATATTAGATGTTCTGTCTACTCAAGTTGCATTAATCTTTTCTCTTAATTGTGTCCTTTTCTATTAATCTGTTTTATGTTTCTCCTAAAAGAGGAAAGAATGTTGTAAGGGTTTTTAACATGTCAAGTACAGTATAATACTCAATTAACTGCAAAATAGATTATTTTCTTAGGTTATACTAATTAATTAAAACGGATATGTTTTGAATCCAAAATGTTAGAATTGCCATTTATTTGCAAAAGACCAAACAAAATTAGAAAATTCAAAAATTCCATGCTACAAGATCTTGTATGCTTTAATAACCTCATATTTTGTAACCCTTCACATTAAATACAGAAAATCCTAATCATTTGACTGATGATTAGAGATATAAGAAGAAAGTTTTACATATCATTGTGAGGGCAGATGATAAAACAAGAATTATAACAACAACACACACAAAAGAACAAAAAAAAAGATAAAGAGCTAGTCAACAATCGTGATACAACGTGCTAGAGAGACGACCAGACGAGATAAGACACGTGTCGAAATCTGTACCGTTAACTCCGTGCTCAGAATTCGAAATCTCAATGGGAGACACGTGGGTTCCACAAGGGACATTTTCTTCCATCTCATGACACTCGAGAAATAATTAAGTAAATTAAAAAAATTATTTTTAAAAATGAATACAAAATCAATTCGAAATTTGCTTTGGAATAAAAATCAATTTTAACACATATGAATAGGGATAGTAGTGTACAAGAATTTTTCTGAGTCAATGTCCAAATTTCATTAAATAGAAAAAAGCAAGGTGTGAGAACTCTATTCCATTATCTTTCTCAAATTTCCTTAAAGATAATGGTAAATAATTACATCATTTACTTTAGGGAAAGATATCCGAAAATCAGAAAAATGATAAGATACATTATCTAATTTCCTTTTATTGATACGGTTTATGATTTTAATCAAGGGTATCTACAACAAATGACCATAAAAGATCCATTAATTAGTTCTCTCTCTTATGTACTATTTGATATATACTGTATATAGGTACAAAGATAAATCTGTCCTCACTTCTCTTATCTCTTCTCTTTCATTGTTTTTTTTTTCCGACGAGATCAAAAATTTTACGATGCCAAGGGAACAATTTAAATCAGAAAAAAAATCTTAGAGAATCAAAACTCGGTGGAGAAATAAAACCGGTGAGTTGTGTTCATATGTGATAATGATACTTTTGAATCGGCGAAGACGAAATCCAAGTCTGATTTAGTTAAGATGAAAATCAAGGCAAGTATGGTGGTTTTGTTTTTAGGCAAAAGTGGTTAAGTTTTATTAGTGTAAAAATGGTGGTAAGTGATGGTGGTTCCAATTTGATGAACAAGCAATTTACTGGTGATGATGTTGTTGTTGTTGATTCGAGCGGGGATGGTCATGAAGCCATTGACGATGATGATGATGACGCTGCAGCTTCTTCACATATGGAGCTCAATTCGGCGGTTACAAATGATGATGGTGATGTTAGGGTTTCTGAGAGTGAGAGATCGGAGTAAAATGGTGTCGTAGGGAGTGAAGAAGAAGATGATATGAGTTACATGTCCTAAATAATTTGTTAACTGGATTTTGATGAGGTTTATTAAGCAAAAGAGGGAAATTGGTATCATTGGCAGCAACACCATGGTCTATTTTTCTGGGTTCGATTTCGTTATATGGGTAAAAATTTAATTAGCAACACATACAAAAATGATAACTTAGAAGTTAAACGTGATAACTAAATTATCATTATAAATAAGTATGCTAATATAAAAGTTATCGGTAATAATTAAATTATTAAAATAAATAAACAGGTTAATATATAAGTTAGTTGATATCAATCACAATTTACCATGTTCATACAAATATTATTCAGATATTTAATATGTTAGCATGTTATCATTCTATATTAACATATAACTAGATTTTAACCCGCGGTACACCGCGGGGCTATATTTTCTTAAAAAAATCAAAATGTAATTTGTTTGATAGATTATTTTGATTGTTAATTTTAGGATTTCACCCGTGATATACGATCTTTTATAAATATCAACCCAAACCCGTCCCATCATATTACCCGTCCCGTGAAATTAAACATTATTTAGTTATTTTTCTTTTTAATAATACTTTTATTTAAAAGCTATATAATTCAAGTCAATTTAAAAATTTCTTTTAAATGGTTCCCATAAGATATATATACATATATATTAAATTTGTATAGAGTTGAAATAATATTAATATTACAAATTTTTTATATAATTTAAATATTATAAATATTTTTAAAAATATGTAATATATATTTTTTGTTATTGAATAAGAGGATATTATGTGTAAGAAATGTAGAAAATAAGAGTTTAATATTTTTATTATGGAGTCGCAAAAAAAATCTTTTATTTCTATACATGTTATTCATTTATTAATAATAAAAGAAAACAAATCCTTTAAATTAGATATTAACTAAAATAAATGCACCATAATTACTTATTAAGTAACAACCAATAAATTTCACCAAAAAATAGGTAACAACCAATAAATTCTAAACGCAGTAATTAAAGAATGAGATATTAAAAAAAAAATATCAAATAAGATATAAGAATCTTAAAATAATTGAACATCTAAATAATTTAATTGTTAGTGTCGATTTTAATGCCTTCATTAATGTGGATTTTTTTTTTTTACAGAGAAATATTTCTTAAAGATTATCACATTAATGACTCAGAAAATTAAGGAAGATATGAATTTATGATTCTCGAAATCGTATTGGTAATATCTTTAAGTAATATTTTTCAAATTTAAATAATTAATGCCAATGGCATTCATCCGTAAATAAGGTCCAACTCCAGAATTTATTTGCTAAAAGTCATTGAAAAATGTATATATAGATTTATAACTTATCGCGATACTACATTATTTAGCATGTGTCATCCGTATATTATCGTGTCAAAATAAACATTGTCGCCCGCATATTTTCCTTTTTTAGTCAGTGGCATTTTTGTAATTAATCCAAAAAATAAGGATAGTTTTGGTTTACATTTCTCTTTTTACCTAATTTTCAAATTACCATATATTTAAATCTAATTTTTTGGTCAATTGTGGTTTAAAATTAATATAGCCCTTTAATCAATTTTCTATCTGTACGAAAAACAGTAGGTATAAAGTAGGTCCACTAGTAGGACCCACCTAAGAAACTCTTTAACAGAGGGCTCTGTTTTTTCTTTTCATCTCCTCTGAAACTGCGACGACCACATATCTGTTTTTGTTTTGGTTTTATTTTCCCCAGAAATTGAATAACATCATCAGCTTTTAAGAAAGAAAGAAATTTTTTGCCCCAAAAGAAAAGAACATAACCTTTGACAAATGAAGGGAATAAATGAAGGGAAAAAAAAAAGGAAATAAAAGTGTTTTGTTAAAATATTTAGAAATTGTAGAAATGGTGGGGGAATTTTAAGTAAAAGCAAGTCTAAACTCTTCCCCACCCACAAAGCAAAAGTCATAACCTTTGACACTTTTTATCTCACCATCTCTCTCTCTCTCTCTCACAAAGAAACAAACAAGACAAATCTTTCTCTCTCTTTATTTTATCCTAAAATTTCCTATCTGATTTCTTGCTATTGAGCTTAAATTTTACCTTCCGGGTATTCAAAAAGATCTCATTTTTTCTTCTAGCTCTGTATTTTCTCAGGAAATTTCTTTCTTCTTTTTAGACCCTTTGTCATGAGCTAATTTTTATCTTCCGGGTGATGAAAAAGATCTCATCTTTTAGCTTAGGATTGAGGGAGTTTCGATTTTTTACTTTGCACTTTTCCTTGGAAGTGATTTGGTGGAACTCATGGTGATTGGTTTCTTCCTAGGGTTATTAGAGATTGACTTCTGGATTTTTCACGCGCCTTGGATTTGATCTAATGCACCCTCTCTTTTTCATGTCTTTTATCTGGTTTAGATTTTGATATTTGAGATCTTTTGTTATAGGTTGCAAGTTCTGTGTTTTTTTTAGTCTTTTTAGTTTCTGTGTTGATTATGATTCTCTTGGTTTAGGAGAGATTTGGGTGTTTATTGATTGAGTTTGAGAATTGTGAAATTAGGGTTATTTTTGGTTCTCTGATCTGAAACTTGGGTAGAAGAAAAACATGGAAGAAGTTGAAGCTGCTAACAGATCAGCTGTAGAAAGCTGTCATGGAGTGTTAAATCTCTTGTCACAACAAACCAGTGATCCCAAATCCTTAATGGTTGAAACAGGAGAAGCAGTTTCCAAGTTCAAGAGAGTAGCTTCTCTGTTAACTAGAGGGTTAGGCCATGGAAAGTTTAGGAGTATCAACAAGTTTAGGTCATCTTTTCCTCAACACATCTTCTTAGAGAGCCCTATTTGCTGTGGTAATGATTTAAGTGGTGATTACACTCAAGTTCTTGCACCAGAGCCACTTCAGATGGTTCCAGCTTCTGCTGTTTATAATGAAATGGAGCCAAAACACCAATTGGGTCATCCTCCATTGATGCTTAGTCACAAAATGTGTGTTGACAAGTCGTTTCTGGAGTTAAAGCCACCGCCTTTTCGTGCTCCTTATCAGTTAATCCACAACCACCAGCAGATAGCTTACTCGAGGAGCAATAGCGGTGTAAACCTTAAGTTTGATGGATCTGGTAGTAGTTGCTATACTCCGAGTGTATCAAACGGATCAAGATCATTTGTGTCATCTCTTAGTATGGATGCTAGTGTAGCAGATTATGATAGGAACTCGTTCCATTTGACCGGATTATCCTGTGGGTCTGACCATATATCGCAGCATTCCCGGAAGATGTGCTCTGGTAGTTTGAAATGCGGAAGTAGAAGCAAATGTCATTGTTCCAAGAAAAGGTTTGTTCATTGTAGCAATCTTGACCCTTTTAATTGTTTTTGTGTCTCATTGTAAATGTTTGATCTTTTACAGGAAACTGAGGGTAAAACGATCAATCAAGGTGCCTGCAATCAGTAACAAGATTGCAGATATTCCTCCAGATGAGTATTCATGGAGGAAGTATGGACAGAAACCGATAAAGGGTTCACCGCATCCACGGTATATATACATCTTTTGGTGGAAAATTCCTTTTGAGTTTATGTCGATTTGACATAAATTTTGCTTCTGTTTTTTCGGTTGCAGGGGATACTATAAATGCAGCAGTGTGAGAGGTTGTCCAGCAAGGAAGCATGTGGAGCGATGTATCGATGAAACTTCAATGTTAATTGTAACTTACGAAGGCGAGCATAACCATTCAAGAATATTGTCTTCACAATCAGCTCATACCTGATGAAACAGAGTCTAATATGCCTGTCTTTCGTCTACTCTTGGATTTGAAGAAGAATGAATTTGATTCTAGAAACCGGTCTTTGTAGCTCTGATTTGCAATTGTATATTTCCACTTTGACATGAGTTTTAAGAGCACTTGTGAACTCGGGTTCTGTGGTGGCAGACAGTAGCAAGAAACATCAACAATTTGGTATCAACCGAGCTTTTTCTTAGATATATCATATATGTATGCAACAATATATAAGGTTCATTTATGGCATCTGAATTAGATCAATCGTTGTTTATCCCACCAACAACATTCTTTATGAACAGAAAAAAAGCTCAAAAAGTAAGTCAAAAAGATGAAGACGATATAGCCAACACAACACATTATATATGTCCACTTCAAATGTAAAAAAAAATTTATTGAAAATATTCAAATCAAGAAAATGAAATCTTGTGAGCCAGCTCAAGACAAAACTACCATTGTCCAAGATCGATCTTAAATGTGAAAGGCAACACCAAATGATTAACTTTACTTTGAGAGAAACATAGGACTCTCTACATGATTCAAATAGACTATGAGAGAAGGATTTTGACCTGCAACAAGTCCTCCTCCAACCTCAACTTGTTTGGCATTGTCTTCCTTGAGATCGTAACTGATCAAATAGACCGGCTTAATCTCCCTGACTGGTGCAAATATAAGCTCGCCAGTACTATGTGTACCCCTGAAATTGAAAAAAATATTCCCAGCTAACTCTGTCCAAGAAGGGACCACGATAGAAACTTTTGACCATTCTTGTTTGCGGGCATCTTCCAGAATCCACAGGTAAAGTGGACCTAATTTAGAGTACTGTCTCGTTAAAGCTATCTTTCCATTGTAGTTCACTAAGAACGGGATATCCTGAGGTAACTTGATGACATTAAAGTCTTCAGAATTCAGATCAAAGCTTATTAAAGATCCTTCATTTTGGATCCAAGCATAGTAATACAAAATCCCATTTATGCATAGCCCTTTAGTATAAGGAGGAGGAAGATGACGATACTTGCATTCGATTCTTCTCCATTTTTGTTTAGCTCCTAAAGTAAAAACTTGATGCTCCTCGGACACATAACGTGATCCACGGTTTGGATGACCACGTAGTACCGTCATGCACAACACTTTGTATACATCATTTACTGGATCATATCCAAAAAGGGAGAGTAGACCTCTTCTCTTAGTTTTGACTCTTGGTAAAGTTAAGAATTGGCCCGTGCTAGGATTTCCAATCATCACTATGGTATCAGTTTGACCACAGATCAAGCCGCGGACGGGTGGAGTAAAACCAAACAAATGATTGGTATGCATACTTACGTTTAACCTATGATGAGCAGAAGATGGATCTTGCTGAGAGCAGGATTGTAAGAACAGCTTCGACTGCCCCAAGTTACGGTAGACTGATGTGAAAAGAAGACGCGGCCGAGTCGAAGATTGAGTCAGGTACAACTTGGTAAAATCTTTGCCGCGGATTATCGACAACCATTGTTTTGAAACGATGATGAACCTGGCTAGGGATCGGCCCGGAACTTTCAGGAGAATCTCTAATATCAGATCCAGAGGAAGAATCGGAAACTGATGGGTTTCATCGCTTTCGTCTTGTTTCTTAGAACATTTTCGACTGTTCACGGTCATCTCGTTCGTTCTGACTCTTTTCATGGCGTTTCTCAAAACTTCTTCTCTGTTTCGTTATTTGTTACTAATATTTGACCCTAATATCTTTACCGATTTAGAGGATTTCAAATAAAACCCTAACGTTTAATTACTCTTAACCCTAATATCTTCTTTAATTACCAATTTAAGGGGTTTGCAAATAAAACCCTAACGTATCCGGCAAATAAAACTCTAAAGCGTTATATAAATGAGGTGTTCAATATTTAGGGATTTGCAAGTTTAGCCTCATATTTTAAAAATTTGACAGAAAAGTGTTTTTGTTTTTTTTGGGTGCAATGACAAATTTTATGACAACAAATAAAACTTGGATCGCCATGATCAATAATTAAGTTTGTATGAGAACTAGTGAACTACAATGGAAAGATAAAATAGGAAGAAACCTCTAAATTTGTATGCATGTTGAACGATGTAGATCCGTATATGATGATCCGTATAGCCAAAACAAAACTCCTTTTGCTCTCCAGATATAAATCAAATAAGAAATCGCAGCATCAAAGTTCCACACAAAACCAGAAGTTACTTTAGACAAATCATAAGCACAATATTGCATTTGCATAATCCGCAAACATACAAAACCATATATGTATATTGACCAATATCCGAGGGATATTTAACCCATACATTATTACACGTAACATTCTTTATGGAATGAAAGCTTAAAAAAAGAAAACCAAATGATGGTAAAGATCCAATAACTAGACAACACAAGATTAAATTCTTATTCCTCTTCAAATGCGAGTCAAATAAGAAAATCAAAGCTTGTCAAGCCAGTTCCACAGAAAACTACTATTGTCCGAGATCTGAAATGAAAGGTAACACCAAATAATTAACTTACATTTGACAGAACCATAGGACTCTCCACATGATCGAAATAGATTTCGAGACTAGCAAAGTTATCTCCAATTTCTTCAACCACAACTTTTTTGGCACTGTTTTCCTTGAGATCGAAACTGATAAAATAGAACGGTCTAACTGGACGAGTCGGTGTAAATATAAGCTCCCCGGTACTAAGTGTACCCCTGACCTTGAAATAAAGATTCTCATCAACAACTAAATCTGTCCAAGAAGGAACCAAGAGAGAAACTTTTGACCATTCTTGTTTGCTGGCATCTTCCAGAACCCACAGGTCAAGTGTACCTAATTTACAAAAACTCGCTAAAGCTATCTTTCCATTGTAGTTCACTAGGCATTGGATATCCTCAGGTAACTTAATGACATTAAACACTTCAGATATCAGATCAAAGCTTATCAAAGATCCTTCACTTTTGATCCAAGCATAATAATAAACAACACCGTTTATGCATACCCCTTTAGTTAAAGAAGGAGGAAGATGATCATGGTTACATTCGATCCTTCTCCATTTTTGTTTAGCTCCTAGAGTGAAAACTTGATGCTCCTCGGCCACAACTCGTGATTCACGTCTTTGACGAACTTGTAGTACCGTCATGCACAACACTTTGTATTCATCATTCACAGGATCATATCCAAAAAAGGAGAATAAACCTCTTCTCCTAGATTTGACTCTAGGTAAAGTTAAGAACTGGCCCGTGCTAGGATTTCCAATGATCACGGTAGTATCATTTTGACGGCAGATCAAGCCGCGGACGGGTGGAGAAAAAGACCACAAACGACACCGATGCGGACTTATGTTTACCCTATGATGAGGATCAGAAGATGGATCTTCTTGGGAGAAGGATTGTAAGAACTGCGTCGGTATGTAGTGACAGAAGACTACGAAAAGAAGACGCGGCCGAGTGAAAGATCGAGTCAAGTACAGCTTGGTAAAGTCTTTGCCACGGATTATAGATGACCAGAGTTTTGAAACGAAGACGAGCCTGGCTATGGATTTGGCAGCTGGCAATTTGAAGAGAATCTCTACTATCAGATCTAGAGGAAGAATCGAAAATGGATCTTTTTTATGGCGGCTTTCGTCTTGTTTCTTAGAACATTGGCCATTGTTCTCGATCGTCTCTTCCTTCCGGACTCTTTTCATGGCGCTTCTCATTTCTTATTCCCTGTTTCCTTCGTTTTTTACTCTTAACCCTAATTAATGGCTGCGCCAAACAATAAACAATATAGATTTACCACTTAAAGGAATTTACAAATAAAACCCTCATTTTTATGGCCATTCCAATTTATCCCCTGTGTATGGTTTTTTTTTTTTTTGGGTGCGATGACAAATTTTATGCCCACAGAATGTCGTGCAACGGAAAATCACTTGTTATACTATTGATTTTTGCATGCGGAGCCTGAACAAAACTTTCATAACTATTAACTAAGAAAAATTCACCTGCTCTTGCTATTTTGTTTCATATATATAACGTTTATGGGTTATGGCATCTCAAATTTTTGCCCTTTATTTTATAAAAACCTCAAAATTTGTATGATGAGAACGATCTATGGATGAAACTTCATGTTACGAATCAATCGATGAAGATCCGTCTAGCCAACTCTTTTTTTCTCTCCAAATATAAACAAAATAAGACATCCGAAGCTTGTCCAAACAAAACCAGAAGAAGTTACTTTAGTAAAGTCATTAGCATAATAATCCTAAAGCATACAAAACCGTTGACCAAAAAAGACTTGAAGAATATGTGAATCAATTGTCTCTCAATTCCAATAATAAGGAAGAGAGTCTAATTAAGTACTATACTACTATCCGAGAATTGAAATGGAAAGTGAACAAAGAAGAGAAAGTCCGGGCAAAACCAAACGAGCTAGTTAGTCATCAACAGATTAACTTACCTTGGACAGAACCATATGACTCTCTACATGATCGAAAAAGACATTGACCGCAGCAGAGTCTTCTCCAATTCCTTCAATCACAACTTTTCTAGCATTTTTTTCCTTGGGATCGTAACAGAGAAAAAAGAAGGGCGGCTTGGGGGTTGGGAGCAGTGCAAGTATAATCTCACCAGTAGGAAGTATACCACTGAATATGACTATTTGATCATTCCCAACTATATCTGTAATAGAAGGAATTACGGCAGCAACTTTTGACCACTCTTCTTTGCTGGCATCTTCAAGAACCCACAGGTCCATTGGACCGCTGTATGCCTGAGTCACTATAGCTATCTTTCCACTATAGTTCACCAAATAACCAAACTGTTGTAATGTATAATCCTCAGGTAGCTTAGCAACATTAAAGTCTTCAGAGCTCAGATCAAAGGTCATCAGAGATCTTTTATCCTTGAAAGAAGCTAAATAATACAACACCCCATCCCTACATATCCCTTGAGATCCAGAATGATGACGATGTAGATAGTGACATTCGAGCATTCTCCATTTTTGTTTGGGTCCTAGCGTGAAAACTTGATGCTCCTCTGACATAGGCTCCTCCCACATAGGATCTTCCCACTTAAAAGCTTGTGATCCACGTTTAGTTATTACCGTCATGCACAACACTTTATACAAATCATTAACTGGATCATATCCAAAAATGGAGAATATGTCCTTTCTCTGCGTTTTGACTCTAGGTAAAGATACGAATTGACCCGTACTAGGGTTTCCAATAATGGCTTTAGTACCCTTTCGACCAAAGATCAAACCGCCCATGGGTGGAGAAAACCAGTAACGTAGATCCGAGCTAAGAGTATAACTGACCCTACGATGATCAGAAGACGGATCTTCCTGAGAGCAGGAGTGAAAGAACTGCATCTGCATGTTGGGACGGTAGACTGAGAAAAGAAGACGCGGCTGAGCCAAAGATCGACTCATGTACAAGTTGGTGAAATCTTGGCCGCGGATTATTGATGACCAGTGATTTGAAACGAAACCTAGCCTGGCTATGGATTTCGGCAGCAGTTTCAAGAGAATCTCTGTTTTCAGTTCCAGAGGAAGAATCGAACACGGGTCGTATTCATCTCTTTTTTCTTCTGGCTTCTTAGACTTCCTTCCCCTTTTCTTCATGGCGATTTTCAATTCCTCTCACTGCTTAGTGTTTTTTCACTCTTAACCCTAATATCTTGTTCTCTTAAACCTAATAACGCTTCACGGCGATACCAATTCCTAATATTTTAAATATTAACAATATAGGGGTTTGTAAATAAAAAACCTCGTATTTTACAATTTTTAACAGAAAAAGCAGTCTTTTGTTTTTTTTTGTTGTAATGGAAACCTTAATGACAAAAACTGAAAAAAAGTTAAATATCAAAGTTTCATCACAACACTGTTGAACTAAGGACTGTCGTGTCCGATTGAATACACTTTTGCTATTTCCATTAATCTTTGAAGAGCCTAAATAAAACTTTCATGACTAGCTAGACAAATTCAGCTTCTTTTGATTTTTTGTTTTGTACTCCTCCGTATTTTAATAAGTGTCGTTTTAGAATTTTTACTTTTTTGAATTGGATGTCGTTTTCAAATTTCTATGCAAAATTTATTACTTTTAAATGTTTTATGATGTCATAAAACATTAAAAAGTGAAAAATTTTACATAGAAATTTGAAAACGACATCTAATTTTTTAAAAAAGAAAATCCTAAAACGACACTTATTAAAATACGGAGGGAGTATCATATAGCACCTCAAATCGGCTGTGGTTTTGTCACCAATGAAGAAGGCTGAAAATGGTGAGCCTGTAAGTGGAAACTGATTATATCACTGTAAGCTTTGCAAAACTTCTTAGCTTTTTCGTCAAGTAACAGTAGACTGATGTGTATTCACAGTACTTGATATGCATTCGCTTCTTCCTTTTCTCCCACTGAAGTTAAACCAGGAAACTGGCCAATATCATGGCCATCAAGAGGACTTAACCTATCATGTAAACCGATTGCAAACTCTTCTGGGTTAGCTTCACCGTTCTGCAGGAATTCTGCAATCTACAGGGGGAAAAAAGAGGAGTAAATAACAAAACATTTGTTACCTTTTCTTCTGCAATCCGCAAATTAAGACAACAAATTTTTGTTAACAAGGGTCATAGGAAGCTTCTTACATGGTTTCCTAAGGCTGCACCGCTTAAAGCTGCAGATTCTAAGTTAGAACCGAGAAGCCAATCACCGCATATACCAGCACGGCCTTGTGGATCAAATATACATGGAACTGCAGGAGTGTTCTTCGGCAAAGCTGCTCCCCTGTATGAAACATATTGAATCACTCCACAGATCTTGAAACATTTTAGCACCGTTGATATAACTATTATTTACCATAGCTGGAGACGTGTGTAAACGGGTTTAGGAAGCGAGCCTTCAGGCAACCCCAATGCGATTTCCACACCTTGAAGCATCCCAGCTCTAACTTTCTCTGCCGTGACCGTTGGGATATTTTCCTATGAGGAAAAGAGGAAGGACAACCATTTGATTTCTGCATTTTTGACAATATTTTGTATAGCTTTGAAGAAACAAACCTGAGGAACTTTGTTCTGTTTCCCATATGCTGCAGTACTGAAAAATGTCCAGCAATGTGGATTTCTGCCATTTCCAAGCTTTGCAGAGTTATTTCCCATCCAAGACAATGATTCAACTCCTTTCACAAACGCTCCCTCAAAGTTCACTGTAGGAAGAGGATCATCAAAAGCTGCTAATAGAGCCCATATTGAACTCAAATCCAGTTTCTAAAACAAAACAAGAATATTGTATCAGAAGAGATCATAGAGATTAAAAAGAGATCTGTGGCACTAGATATTATCTACCTTCATCTGTTTAGCCACTAGGGGCAAGCCTGATGCTGAAAGCAAGCGATTTGCACATTTACCTGAACAAAACGCAAACCATTTCTATAAAAGAAGACATAACAAAGCATCTGAAGCGATTAAGAGAGAAATCGATACACTTTCTTACCATTATGAGCAATGACAATGACATCAAACTGACCACGAGGTGTTCCATTCTCACTTAAATGCCACATCCCATTAAGTGGTTCCAACTTACTGATCCAACAAGGCCTTACCAGATTCACCATTTGACTCTGCAACAAATTCCAGTATAACTTACTTCAACTCATAAAAATTTCAGAAAGACTCAAATTTTTTTGCTGCACAGAGATAACATATCACACCTCTAATAGCAATGAATCAGCGAGAGATAGCATGCCATTAACAGCAATGTATCTTGGAGGTGATGATGAGGGAAACTGTGAGAAGCTACCTCCAACTTCAAGCTCTCCCACAGCACCTTTCCACTCTCGAACAAGTCCTTTCTCTAACCACCCATCTACCAATTTGATAAACCGAGAATCATCCGCAGTGAAGAATTGAGCAGCGTGATCGAAAATAAGCCCCTGTGGTTCAATAATCCTTGTTCCAAGTCTTCCTCCTAACCCATGTATCCCCTACATAAGTGATACAATAGATTCTTACTAATTTACTAATTCGATTCAATATACCACATTTGAAACAAACAAAAAACACAAATTTCACAGCACATGTTCTACCAAATTCTAATTCAGACTAAAAAGAATAAAGGAAAGTTTCTAAAAAACATTAACGCAACACAAAAGAGTATTATTTGATTGCTCTGTCCATAAATGGGACTAATTCGATTCAATTAGCCACATTTGAGCCCAAAAACTTGACTTTGAAGTGAATTGTGAAATATACAACAGCAAAAACACCCAAAGACCAGAAATTTCACAGCACCCATTCTACAAAACTTTAATTCAGATTCGAAAGTTTCAAAAGGAACCGAATTGAATAACCGTATCGAAAACTGTGGATTGGACGCCACGAGCTTCCAGGTTCAATGCGCAGACCAAACCCGCCATTCCTCCACCGATAATCGCCACGTGGGGGTCATCAGAGATTCGTGCGGTGAAAGTAACTTGCTCTTGTAAAAACGATTTCTTGAGGATCGACCTTCTAGAAGTCCCATACTTGGAGGAGTTTCGCCGTTTCTGGAAATTAGGGTTTCTGCTGCTGGGGTTTGACTTCCCAGTGTTCTTTTGTGAATCGCATGTTGTTATAATCTTTCTGGTGGTAGATAAGTCAGTGTTTCTGGGTTTTGATAGGGTTTTGAGTTTCAGAGGTTGAAGAAAGGAAGAAGACAGAGACATTAAAGAAGTGGCCATTGTTGAATTTTGGAGGGAGGCTAAGATAAATTTGCTCGAGTTAGAGGATTATCTGTTATCTTTTAAAATTTCGGAACCCAAATTACTGTTTTACCCTCTCCTTTTTATTTCTATTTTCTTAATCTAGTGAAGATTTTCATAACAAAACTATATGATAAATCAAAAGTGTATGAAATCATGCATGATATGTAACAAAATGGTAACATTTCGTTTCTTTAAGACAAAAGTTGTCCTATATGAATCAATAAATTAATAATTATATCAAACAATATTCAATGGATGACATTTCTTTTATACAAATCCCATCTTAAATTGGTCTCAGAAGCCGACAAAAAAAAGGGGCTCACATAGTAATTAGGGGTGTCCAAATTGGTTAATACCCATGGGTTACTCGAACCCGCCCATGATTTTAGTGGGTCTGGGTAAAAAATTTTTACCCATATATATAAATGGGTTTTAGTGGGTTACCCTATTAGGGTTATGGGTTTAATGGGTAAAACCCATTGAGATCATGGGTTACCCATGGGTTTCATAATCAAAACTAAAAAATAAAATTTATATATATCTATATTAATATATTATGTAAAATATATATAAATATATGTAAAATATCTTCTTTTCTTTACAACTATATATGTAAAATATCTAAAATAACTATTAAAGTTTACATTTTACCTAAAAATAAAAGTAAAAAGTAAAATATATGTATAATATTTTTTTTCCTTGCAGCTAATTATGTAAAATATATAAACTCAAGACTAGGGTTTTCCTTTTCTTCATGTATTATTATTATAAATAGAAGTCATCGTTCTCTGCTTGCTCCTTAAATCACTTCTTGAGTTCTCGTATCTCATCGCCTTGCTTTTCTATTTTAATATCTAGATTTTTTTAATTTATTATTAAAAACTTTTGTTGGTTTACAATTTTATGTTATGTTATTTTTTTGGATTTTTATTATTTATATATTTTATTATACATATATATGGGTACCAATATAACCCATTAAGCCAATGGGTTTTTACAATAATGAGTTTGAGTATATAAATTCAACCCATATAAATATATGGGTCGGGTTAAACCCGTCTATTAAACACTCGAACCCATATAGATTTAGGTCGGGTCGGGTCGGGTTATCCATTTTGACACCCCTAATAGTAATAGACTAATAGTTATCTAAATATAATAAATTTTCTAATTAATCGGATGTATAGTGCTTTCCACGGGAAAAGTATATATTAAAATATGCGTTCAGATATTCAAATTAGAATAATTTTATTTAGTCACGCGGTTATAAACAATTCGGTGTATAAATTAAGTCACACAGAAACGACGGAAAAAAAAAAAAATTAAGTCACACAGAAACAGAAATAAACGCAAACGAAATTATGGATTTGAAGAAAGCAACTTCGCTTTTTTACTTTCTTCTCTGTCTCCACCTGCAACACCACTTTGCTCACGCGATCTCGCGATCTTCTACCTCCGTTGATCCAAACCATGACGATCTTCCGGTTCAGCCTGTCGAATTGAAGCCGGACGGTGACTTAATCGCCGCCAATTTAACGGAATTAGCAGTCGTTAAGAAAGGAGGCGGAGGTGGAGGCAGAGGCGGAGGCGGCTTCGGCGGAGGAGGACGCAGTTTCGGTGGAGGAGGGAGTTCTAGCAGAGGCGGAGGGGGGAGTTCTAGCAGAGGCGGAGGAGGGAGTTCTAGCAGAGGCGGAGGGATACGTCCGATTCCGATTTATGGCGGTGGTTCGCACCGCGGTGGTCACCATTCAAGCGGCGGCCGGGAAATTGCTAGCGGTTGGTTAGGTTTATCGATTTTAGCCGGTTTGGTTTTGGTTTTCTAGGTCTTCTTATTTGATTTACCGGTTTAGGTTAAATGTTTGATGCCGGTTTCGCTTTCCACTTGTTTGCTCTCATATACAGTATAAGTTTTAATATTAGCTTTCAATTTGGGAAAAAATTTGAGGATTTCCTGAATTTATTAGGTTTTAATCGAGTCAATTAGCGTTTCTCTAATAACTAGTAAACGTTGACCAAAATTGTTAAGTCAACGACAAGTTGAGGATTATATTTGTGCATAGTTGGAGAATAATTGTGTTAATTGTGTTATCAGTCAATTTAACGGAAGTCGGAAAATAATCTTAGCCGGTTTGGTTTTGGTTTTCTAGGTTTTCTTATTTGATTTACCGGTTTAGGTTAAATGTTTGATGCCGGTTTCGCTTTCCACTTGTTTGCTCTCATATACAGTATAAGTTTTAATATTAGCTTTCAATTTGGGAAAAAATTTGAGGATTTCCTGAATTTATTAGGTTTTAATCGAGTCAATTAGCGTTTCTCTAATAACTAGTAAACGTTGACCAAAATTGTTAAGTCAACGACAAGTTGAGGATTATATTTGTGCACACGATAGTTGGAGAATAATTGTGTTAATTGTGTTATCAGTCAATTTAACGGAAGTCGGAAAATAATCTTACCATTTAAATACATCAACACTCAAATTTACAAATTTCAATATTAGGCGGGGTTCTTCAACAATCAACACAAAGATTTCATGTTAAAACTTAAAACCGAGAAAGACAGTTACATTGTGAACCAAACATATACCGGAAATAACCGAAAAACAAAGAGTCTTTGTTTTGATTTCAAATTTTCTCCGGTGAGATCAAGTTAGTTTGAGTAAAACACAGACCAACAAAGCATCGTTCATCATCTTTTCAAGCCTCAGATGCTTCTTCTGAGCACTCGGTCACTGGTTTCAATGCGGCTTTAGCCTTACCAGATCTGACACGAGGGCTGTCGTGCGCAGAATTGTTGTTCTTGTTCTTCTGATCTTCTTTGTTCTGAACTGTTCCAGTGCTGTGTCGGTTCCGGGTAGAGACTGTCTTCAGAACCTCTTCACGGGAAGACGAGCTGACGGCGTCGCTGAAGCTTTTTCTCCGAGAAAGGATGAGTTTTGGCGACTTGGGACGCGTCAAAGGAAGCTACAAAGAAACATAGCATAAGTTACTTTGGCACAGAAGTTGAACAATGCTGAACTCTGAACAAAGATAAGAGTTTTGGTTCAAAAGATACCTTCTTGAGCTCAGCTTTTGCAGGAGGTGCCTCGTAGTAAAAGTTGGGGACGGGTTTAGCCTTGAACTTGAGATTCTTTCTAAGTTGTTTCAAGGCTGCTTCTTGTTCTTCCTGCAGACCATTTATATATATATATATATATGTGAGGTTTCACAACCATTTTAGAATCAGTTAAAAAAAACTGCATCTACCGGAAATCTGTACTTTACCTTTTGCCTCTGTTCAAGCTCGTTCCTTTCGGCTTCAAGCGCTTGGTTTTTCTCCTCGAGCTTTTGGTAATACTAAGCCACACAGACCCCACAAAAGAAGTTCCAATCAGTATACACAACAGAGTGAACTCTATATGTTTAGTGCAGATTATGCTTCTGTTTATGTTGGATTTTGTTCGGCTTTGCTAGACAATTACTGAGTACTCAACATCTTCAAAGAGCTTATGTGATCTATAACTGAGATGTGGAAGCAGAAAGATAGAATATTTACTTACCTCCTTGCGTTTCTCAGCACGTTGAGCACTCCTAAACGTTGGAGCACTTCCATAAGTCAATCCAGACTTACCCATCCTCGTGGAAGTTGCCATGCTGTGGTAAATAACGTTAAGGATACAATATCAATTCTGTTAAGCATCGCGTACATACATACATACATATGTATCAAGTATTCAATGATAGAGGTGGGAAAAGGATTACGAAGAAGCAATGGAGCAATTATCATCGTCATCGATATGCTTCTTGTTCTCGGGTTGCAATGGCTTCCTCACCGGGAGAAGAGGAGCATCCTGCTGCAATAATATATCAAGAAACACGTCAAAATCGGCTTTAGGCCTCAATCATATACACCTCTCCAACCATCTACAATGCATTATACTTGCCAATTCTCAAAACCAGAATCTTATGAAATTAGTTTTACCTTTGAAACTTTAGCATTTCCATTACGAGTTTTAGGCGATTTCTGAGCTCCAATTCTCTCAGCAGATCCAACGTTTGGTGCATTTTCAGAAAGAGACTTCTCCTCTGTGCATTCCTTGACTTCAAATTCCTCATCAGTCTCCTCTGCAGCTATCTTAGGAGCAACGTGAACTCTACCGCTTGAAACGTCGGCGTTTCGGTCCATAAGCACCTCAACGACTTCTCTTCCCATTCCACTAGACATATCACCAACCAAAGAAAAAACAAACAGATTCTCTATTACAAAGATTCTCAAACACCCATTTCAATCTGTAAAATCTCAGATTATCTACACCTTCAGCTTTCTCTATACCCTACAACAAAATAACATCCTTTTAAAGTTTGCAACTTTTTTTACATCTGACATTTGAAAGTTTGATTGTAATGAAAAGAGATTGGTTCAAAGTTAGAACATTCTTGAATCTGAAATGGTGTGGAAACTGTAGAAAGGGTCACAGGGGAACAATTCAAAAGTGAAACCAACACGCTTAAACAACCCAAATGAAGAAAGAGTCAAATTTTCAGAATTTTAAAAATCCAGATGGGAAATAATAATGGGAAAAACGAATAAATTTGAAAACTTAGCATATAGAACAAGGATTTGAGGAAGAGCAGGTACCCAAAAACAGAAGATAAATGATTCAACCAAAATGCAAAACAAAATTGGTTTCTTACAAGTCTTTGTAGGATAGGAGGAAGGATTCTTGTGCACCACCACCTCTGTCTCCTCTCTCCGATGGCCCGTGAGAATTTTGCAGACAAAAAATTGAAATTAATTGTCTTTTTATCCAGAACAAACTTGTCTCCCTCTCTCTTTCTCTCTCCTCTCTCTCTCAAGAAGAGAAAAAAAGGATTTTTTTTTTTTTTGGGCGGTGACTATTTTGGAATGGTGTTTGATTTGTTTAAGCTGTTGGTTATTTATTGGGACTTTGCATTTTTCAAATTTAATTATTAATTTTTTCAAATCGTTTACTTTAATTTTTTGGAGTTTATTGGCGCTTTAACTACCCGCATGATTCTTCTTCATTTTAAAAATCAGGATTTGAAAAATGCACAAAAATATTTTCGTGGAAAATGTAAATCTTGTTTACTTTTATTTTGAAATGTGGCAATTAATTTTCAATTAGGTTTTGAGTTAAATGTATAAAAAAAAATCACAATAATCATTTGCTAAGCAGTATCTTAGAAGGAAATTCAAACTCATCAATAATCATCGCGGGACTTTAAGTCACAAACGGATACGAATGTGACAAATACCTCATTTAATAATAACCATAAATACACCAATGTGACAAGTTACTTCTATTTAATAACCACCTCTCGACTAACGTGATACCACTATTTAACCCATCACAGGCTTTTTGAGTTTTATCCAAATACGTAATTCCATTGTGTATTTTTTATTTTCACCTTTAACCTGGAAAGTAGTAGAGTACGTATATATCATTTACTTACTTTATAATGTAAAAGAGACCTATAAGCTTTAAAAATGCTTCACGCCTTTCCGAGTTTAAACCTCATTTTTACTTTCCCTCGCTACTTTGTTTAAATTTTGTAGCTTTGTTGGATTCGAAATATGGTCTGGCTTATGAACGCATACATAAGAGTCATAAAGACATAAACATAAAAAAAAAAAAAAAAACTAGAAAGTTTAACATACCGTTTTATACAAACTGCGTTCACTAATTTCAAAAAGTAGTTAGATGAGAAAATAATAATTGGTAGCCTAGAAACGTCCAATTCCAACCGAATACACCTTTTGTTATTTGAAATGAGAACAAAACAATGGGAGTATTCATTATTCAATTGAATAACGTAGGACCCACGTTGCTTTGGAATAACGTAGGACCCACGTCGCAACTCAAAAATCACAAAATCTTCATCTATCATCCTTTTTGGCGGCAAAATTTCTTAACGGGGTCGAGGATAAACAAAAGGCAAATCGGTCGGTTGGTCCAACAAATGGTCCCAAATAAAAAGATATGCCTATGAAAAATGGCTACCACCTTCAACGAGATTGGTCTCATGTATTGCGGTCTGTGGATATCTTATATACTACACAGTCTACACACACAGAGAACTTAATGTATATGGTATGATGATGCTAGGTAGAATCAATTAAGAAACTGAATTTTTGTCGTTGTTTGGCTTATGATAAGAAGTTAAAATCTCTCTCTACACGATATCATAATTTTATCCATAACACTATTTTATGATATCAATAGATAAACCTGAATTGTAATATCAGAAAATATGTATTTCGCAAACACAAATATTTCGGTCTCAAATGTTTTATTACATAAAGTTTGGTTTTCAAAATTACATGATCAAATAAATGATGGGGTCCAAAATCAGGATATTTTCCATATTGTTTTGTAAATTTAGTTATTACGTACTTAAAAAAAACGTTTTAAAACAACGTTTTTAAATAAATTAATAATTGATAATATTTAAATCTACTTAACCATGCAAAAAGCCAAAAACAAATTAAATTTGTGGAATCGATAATGAAGCATCAGTCTACATGGAGCATCGGCTTGATGGTTTCGAGATCGAATTATGGAAGAAGAGATCAGTCTATATAGAGGTTAAGTGGTTAACCATAAAAAGGAAATCTCAAATCCGTTTATAGATATAGATTTTTAAAAGAAACTCAGGCCCATTTAGGTTACAAATATCGTAGGCCCATTTAGATTTACACAAGGCTCAACCACTAAATTACCTCACAAACATCGGGAACAATCGCTCTTTACTCGGTCAACGAACCGCTTGAAGACGAACACGTGTCACGTTTTCGTTGGCTTTACGGGAAGCGCAACGAGTGCTATATAAATGCCGTTAAGCCTCGTAACGGTTTACTAATTCCCCGAGAGTAACCAACAAAAAGCGATCAAAGAACTTTTCCCGTTAGAGAGAGAGACGAAGAAGAAGAAGAAGAAAAGTTACGCAGAGAGACTGAACGAAGAGTGATCGATCGGAGAAAGATGGCGATGGAAGTAGCAACACCGGCTCCGGCACCAATCCCATCGGAGAGGAACATCGTTCTCGCCCCTGCAACAACAACAACCACCGCCACTGTCGAGACTCACAAGAAGAACAGGATCCAAGTCTCCAACACCAAGAAACCATTGTTCTTCTACGTTAACCTCGCCAAGGTAATGATCGTAACCGAAATTCATCACCGGATCTACGGTTTTTCAGATCAAACGAGTCTTCGTTTCTCAATTTTTGACTGATCTTCTTTACTTGAGTCCGAGATCCGCTTGATTTTAAGATTGTAGATTCCATAAACGAATCATC